AGACACTGGAGTGGTTTGCCATTTCCTTCTCCAGCTCATTTTATAGATGAGGAAATTGAGGCAAACAGATTTAAGTGACTTGCTCAGGGTCTCATAGCTAGTAAGTATCTGAGGCCAGATTTGGACTCAGCAAGGAAGTCTGACTTCAAGCCCAGTATTCTATCCACTGAGCCTTCCACAGGTCATCCTTAAATCTCCTGTTCTTTTTGGTTCAGCACCTACATATAATCTTTGGAATGAAGGGGACCACACATAAAAGGACAGCCCTATCACTATTTACTAAAACTTCTTTGCCCTTTGTAACAACCATTATTCCTTTTCTTTGGTTTGTGGGGGTCTTTCATTGTCCCTAAAATTCACTATCAGTAAGGTAAGATTAGCCCAAATTTGTCTTAGGTGCTGAGGGCCTCATGCTTTGTGGGCAGCTGGCAGGTATCATCATCATATCCTATTGTGTTCCTTGGCAGAGTGCCTCACTTTATCAAACAACTAATTTGGACAATGAAAGTTTAAAAACTCAAAACACATTTCTGGAGTAATAATAGAAAGCCCACCACTTCAGTGTGCTCTGTAAAGCCCATATTACCACAGAATGCTCAAGCTGCTACTTTTATTCCTCTTCCCAATGAACCCTGGAAAGAGCAGGGACGCTATCTCTGATTACAGATGGAACCGGGACGAGAATCTCCATCTCTACTCAAGTCTAGAAGGCTGCCGTTGGAGGACACTGAAGTGGTTTGGGGGGTAGGTGAGACTATGAGGTGAACTGATGATGCTAGACAAATGAAATATTCATTAAAAGAAAGAATATCTATTTGGAGTACAATTTAAATGAAAAGCTTTCAGGAAATGACAAAACAGCTCGATGTTATATAAAATGCAGGTTAGGTTCATCATTTTCATTTTTGAAATTTCAAAGGAAATTTTGCAGACTATTAAGAGGAAAAGGCATAAAGTAAATATCAGTGTAACAACTGTGGATGATTTTTTGCCTCTAAGATTAGACACACTCAACAGTCATCAACGAGATCCATCGACCTCTCCATACAAACCAACTGGAATAGACCATGGGAACATGACCTTAGGAGGGCAATTTCCTTCAATAACATTAACGCAACTTCAGTGCTGCTTGGAGGGGCATCCATTCGCCCTTCCATCCAGATATTAATGAATGCAGGATATGTATATTGTTACCAAAATAGCAAAAAGCCCAATAGTTGACAGATTTACTGACAGCTATCCTCAGTTATGTATTAGTGAATATTTTGTTATTCCCCTTCTCCTGAAGGACAGGGGTAGTGTCCCCTCCTATTTGCTTTCTATCTCTTTTGCCAGTCAGAAGACCAGCAAACGCGGGAATGGGATAAGAAAATCGAAAACAGAGATGTGACTGATGCCCTGGGCAGTAAAAGCCATGAGAACAGCTCTGGAAAACCACAGAAGGGTGCCAGTCTTGGCAAAGAAAACAAACAACTTGCCCACCACACTGGCCTACGATGTCATGTGAGGAAACTGCCAAATAAACGTTGAATAACTAGTCACAAAGCTAACTGTGCTGGGAAAGAAAATGAATAGGAGGAACCTCAGTTCTAGCTGGTTATTCTGCCCATGTAAGTCACTGAATGTGGGAATATACTCAATGTATTATATATACACACACACACATCTATACACACATACATGTCATAGCAAACATCTGTCAACAGTCAGGAAATTTAGTTAATATTTGTGCTAAAACTTCTGTTCTCAATTTAATGATGGGTTACCACTAAGGAACAATTATCTTCTTTAGAATTTTTTTTAAAATGCTTGAATTTATTTCAAATAAATGGAAAAAAAACCCCTAAATTCAGAATCTTTACTTCAAATCTTTCTGATATGGTGCTAAAGATGCGCACATGCACAAATTCGGGTCAAGTTTTAACTAGAGTTCTTTAATATACCAAACTATTCATCTCTGAATATACAATATTAATAGATACATATATAGCAATGGTCTAGGGCTGGTGCATTGGTTCAGAAGTTAAACCTGAACTAATGAGTCCTGTTTCTGATTCCCATGCCCAGTTGACAATCGTTGGGGAGACAGAGAAGATAGGCAATTAGATATGGAGTGCTTAGGTGGGAATAGGGGAGCCACTGTTTGTTTCCCAAACAAACAGTATCAGAGAACTTCTAAATAGTTCTAGAAGGGAAGAGGGCTCATCCCCAATTTTAGACCCAATAACAGAATACACGCACACACACACACATATATATATACACACACACACATATACATCCATATATATGTACATACACATACATACACTCATTCACTTTTTCCATGTATAGTCTTACACAAATATGTATCCATAATCCGTCATATCCACTTTCACAGACATGGTTACATCCACTCAAACATAACACATAGGCACACTTAGAATATCCAATGAAAACACACACATATACACAAATTCATTGAATATTGGGTAAACTGTTGGTAGATTATGTGGGTTATTAGGTGAAAAGGACACATGAATGAACTGGTAGCAGAAAAGTGGAGGATGGTTGTGGCAGAGAGAGACCAGGTAGGCAGACAGAGAAAAGAAATGGTATAGACTGGCAAAAGAGCAGAGACATTTTAAAGAAGTGACTAACGGAGTCCTTTAAAGAAAAAAAAGACTAGAAGAGGTTTGTTATACAAAGTCTTGGAAAGATCAGTTTAACTCTTTAATTTTCAGTACTGACCAAATTAAAGTAACCTTGTTACAAATTATTGGCTAAAATAAAGGAAAACACACCCACACCCCCCTAGTTGGACAATGTTAGATCCTTTAGAATCTATGGATTTGCCATAAGCATACACAGCATGAGTACAAATAAGTTGTTTTAGTGAATGAAAAAGCCAATATAAAACCAAAACAAAGGAACTGTGAACCAATTAAAGAATTGAAAGATAAAGCCTTTAATGGATGACAAGACTTGTAAATGAAATGCAGCCATGAACTGAGCTAAGTACAAATATTCATCATTACCACCTTTACATTTAGTTCAGAAGACCTGTCAATTTGTTACCAGATTTAGTGTTCACACAGGAATGCTAACACACACACAGACACACACACACACACACACCCCCTCTGTACCTTTCAGATCAATGCCACATGTTATTGATCTTTGCTCTAGCTTCAGAGTTTTAAACACCTTTTGGCACTAAAGTACATCTTGTAAACAGCAACCCTCTCCATCTGAAGCACAACTGAGGTCAAGACACAATATTACATGATGAGAAAGAACATCTCTTGTTCCAATAGGTGAAGCAGTCACTCACTAAATATTTGCTGAATTGAATTCATTAAATTAAATTGAACTGATGTTTGCCATACTAGTTCCTGGGCCTTTCTAATAAAGGTTAAAAATAATCAAGCCTGGGTTACAAAACCAAAGAGGATAAGTGAGTAATAAAACAGGATGGGAGAACAATATTAGAACTGCTTGCTGGATAGATTTCTTGATCCAAATTTCCAAAGAGCAGAAACCTGCGCCGATTCTTTTATTCTGCTGCTAAGCAGGCTTGTTTCATTGTCTTGCTAAGTTCTAGTCTTTCATATGTATGTAGTGTCCTCATTACCATAAATAGATGTTGTATGCAGATCGAAGGAAACACACAGAGTCCCAAAAATGGAATCTAATGCCCATCACCAGGACTTAATTACGTTTAAAAACAAATGTACCTTAGACCAATCTAAACGAAGCTTAACAAAAGCCTGTATTTTTACCTTCATAGGCATAAAACCAACCCCAGGCCAGTGCAGCAATCAGTCGAGTTCCTACTAAAGAGGCTTAACAAATATTTGTTTCTAGTTTTTCTTTAAGTGAATGTTTAGCAATATGTAGCACGTTCATTACAGACAGGTCTTTTCAAACTCTTTGGGCTGGATTCATCTCCAATTTTGTGTCTTTCGGAATCAAACACTACTGGCATTTGGCATTAACACTGGCATATTAACGTTAAGAATCACAGTTCAATTTCGACACCAGAATGTAGGCGAGCAAGTATCTTTACTTTAGAGGAGTAAAGCGAGGCAGGTCAAATGCCTTCCTGAAGGTGACCTCGAAATTTCTGAGCACAAAAGCTTGCAATATTGCTACTAGGCTCCATTCTGTAAACACAGGCCAGCACAGACAAGCTATAGTCTGGGAAGGGTTCGGGAAACTCACTTCTTGTTGAGTCATTTCAGTCACGTCCAGCTCTCTGTGACCCCATTTGGGGTTTTCTTAGCAAAGATACAGGAAAGGTTTGTTATTGCCTTCTCCAGCTCATTTTACAGATAAGGAACTGAAGCAAACAGGGTTAAGTGACTTGCCCAGGGTCATACAGCTAGGAAGTGTCTGAGGCTGGATTTGAACTCATGTCTTCTTGACTCCAGGGCCCAAGCTCTATCCATTGCACCACCCCACTGCCCAGAAACTTACACTGGTTTTTATATGAAAAAGGGACATTTCACTCTGTACATATAATTTGCACCTGACAAAAAACTGGAGAGTCAATTTTTCTATACATCAAAAAAGGAAAAGCCAAGAGAAGCAGAGTCCGGCCTCATCCTCTATTATTAAAGGGCCCCGGTGCCTTGGCCCTTTCTTCCTTTCTTCCACTTCCCAGGTCCAGGCACTCTTCCAGGCTCAGCTCAGGCTCTCCCCCATCCGTGCCTGAACCTACCAGCTACAAGTGTGCTTTTTCTACTTGAGTTTTCTTGAGCTGTGTCCCAGTATGGCATGTCCCCCGAGGGCAGGAGCTGTCCTTCCTTTCAGTATCCCCTGTGCCTAGAGCAGTGCTTTACACAACGAAGGCCCTTCCAAAATGTTTGCATTAAATTGCATTGTTTGAGGGGGGCACTTTTAGCAGGAAGATGAGATCTGTGCTGAGAAAGATTTAAGAAACCCTGGCTTCTGTAAATCTCCTATTCCACCTCCAAATAATAAACCAAATGATTTATCAAACCAAAAATGATAGTCTCTTGATTTTCAGAAAGAAACTCAATTTATGAAATGATCAAAATAGAGGCAAATACTATTTTTAATTATCTAACAAGAGAAAAGAGATATAGATACACCATAAAAACAAACAGAATAGTATTTGCCCCGTTCAAATTATACTCTGGGATAAGATTTTGGTTTTAATACAATCATGATTTGACCTGATATAACTTTAATAAAGTTAAAATCTAACAGGTGGCCTGATGGACTTTGGTTTTCATGTACTTCACCAAAGTTCCTGAGCAGAGTTGACACTCCCTGGTCAAAAGGCCTTCTGATGCCTTACTGATCTACCTCTCTAAAACACATTGAATACAAATGTCCTGGTCCCAAGGGATTGACTTCATCTTGTAGGTTCTGATCAGGGCCAGCCAGCACGAAGCAAGCTTGTTAACTGTTGTCCTGAAGATGCCACCTCAGCCTTCACATAAGGGACCTTACCTTTACCAAACTGAATCAGTACAGGACCCTTGCACAAAGGCTAATAGTGGACCTAATACAACTGTGCTTATAACTGGATTGTTTCAGGGTTGCTGCAAATAGGATATTCAGTGAACATGTCACCATCATTTTACATCTGGATGGATGGATGAGACGGTAAGAACAAGTGAAACTATTAGTGGAAAAGAAGAGGCGCTGCCATCTGACCTGCTCCGGTTTCCCTGAGGCTCCCAGCCACGTGTCACTATCATCTCAGTTAATTAACCACTTGACTGTTTCCATGAGTATGTCAGGTGGGTCTGAGCGGTTCGCTGTTGCTGGTGACAGAGTGGGACCAGGACTGCTGGCTGCTATGAAAGGGGTAATCCTGCCTGAGACCACTGGTATAAAATCAGGTCCTTCACATCCTTGGACTTTAATAAATACATATCTTGAACACTTTAATAAAAATACAAATGGGTACTCTGCTCAAGAGATCAGAACTACGCCTTTTCTACTTCTGAGTTGGGGGAGGGATGCTTCATCCAGCAGCTGCAAATATCAGTCAGCAGAGACATCAGGGATACTAACAGTGCCCTCTCGAGGAGGATTCCCTGCTAGGTGTTTGGATCTACGCTGGGGGATGGAAGCTTTAAAGAAAGTGGGATGGCAGCCAGACTCTCCCAATCACATCACCACCCTCCCAAGTCCAGGAGAGTCTATCCCAGACGAACTTCAGTCCTTCTTGTCCTCTTTCTGGGGCTGACTCCTGGACACCCCCAGGCTGTTCCATACCTCAGTGTACATCAAGGTCCCAACAAAGACAAACATGGTGCCCAACCAATGCCATAGGGTGAAAGGGTTCTGGAAGTAGAGGATGGAGAAGATGAGGCTGACGAATTTGCGCAGGGTCACAACCAGTGTGACAGTGAGGGAGGTGCACTCTGTGGTGAGAATGAACACACCCCGGATGCAGGCATACCTGAAGAGCAGAAGTTAAGGGAGCTTTGCAAAGTCTGTGAGTAAGAAGTCAGGGGAGCTAAGCTACAGTGAGTACACTTCTTTGTTTTAAGGTGTTGTGAAGTCAATGGACACAAAGATCAGCAGCAGAGGGCATTTTCAGCAGATTATCCTGCAAAATTTCTGCTGTTTCAACGATAAGTCCCAATTCAATTGTACCTAAAACTTTGTGATTTTCACAATTTAACTCAATCCTAAGTGTTTATGACATCGCCATTTATTTTCATGACACAACTCAATGCCCCATTATTACAAAGGAATGAGCCTGATTTCCACAAAGCAAACAAGAAAATCTGCCTCACTACCTTGCCGCAACACAAACTTTAAAAATTGCTTAAAATTTATTCAAATAATTTTGAAATTCTTTTTCAGGGTTTCAGGGCACCCCTTAAGATGCTGGGATGTTTAACCCAGGATTGCAAATCATCTTAGTACATAAATCCTTAAATCACTGACTGCATCTTCTATATATACAGTTATTTCCCTTAAACATGTTTCTTTTCTTATCAGTTGTCACACCACCTATTTGCTCTCCCTGTCTCCCAATTAGCATCTCTGTTCTATCACCTTTTGACAAACATTGCAATATCATCTCTCAGCAAGGAGATTTCAGGAAGGACCATTTGCCTCCTTGTTCCCTGCAGAAAAGGTATTGAGATAAGAAATCGAAGCTGTGTCCGAGCGTTCTGAGAGGAAAAGGATGTGGGCACTTCTTCCCGGCCAGACTGAGGTAGGGCTGGCAGCGGCACAACAGAGGCTAAAGGATACTGAGTGAAGATGTTCATGAGGAGGTAGAACCACATGACGGGCATTGTCACCCCGACAACCGGAACCTGATACAGTTCTGTAAGGATGGCAAGAGAACAAAGACATTCACGAACTTTCATTGGTTTTGACCAAAAGAATACAGGCTGAATGTGAGGTCAAAGACTCCCTCTGGGGTCTCATCATAGGTCATGACACGAGGAGGCTCAGTGGTAACAACTGCGCTCTCCTACTTCACAAACTGCTTCAATCCATGTCACTCCAAGAAAGTGTCAAATTCCTTCCTCCAATCAAACCAGAAATAATATTATTTCAACAAATTCTTATTTTTACCTGAAAAGAGCCCAGGTACTTGGCTCCCTACTTTACAGATGAAAACAAGGACACACTGAGAACATAAATGATGTGAAGTCCATCAGGGTCATGACATTAATGCAAAGACTCCTCTCAGAGTCTTAAATTCTTATTTGTGCTAAGCTCCCTCCTGCTGTTTATCTTATAAACCAGAACCTGTGTCAGGGGATTTGGCTGCAGGGCTAATAATGGAAGACGGATGCAGGTGTCGTGAGGCTGAAAAGGAGAGTGACTAATTGCAGTTCTGCACGGGAGAGTGGGACACCGGGGTACCTGCAAACTGGTGTGCACATACTGAGTGTGGGAACAGGGAGGAGACAGTGGTTGCAGAGAGGGAGCGTTTCAGATGGGCACATGAAGGCAAAGAGCAAGAGGAGTAGAGTGGGAAGATGGCAGAATGGAAGTGGGAAGGGTGAGGATCCTGGCACCAACTGGTGTCTCCCTTCCCGGGTGGTCATCTAGGAGCACGAGGAGCACGAGGAGCACATGCGCAGCATGCTGCGGCCTCCTTCTCAGTCCTCTCCCTCCCTTCTCCACCAACACACGTCATAGATACCAGTAGCTGGGAAGAGTGAAGAAATCTGGAGGATTAGCTTGGTTGAGTAGAGCACCGGAGAATCATGGAAAGCTGAGTTGCCTACAGCAGCTGACACTCACTGTTCCACTAATTCTGGCTGTTCTGGAAGAGGTGGTGATTATATCTACATTCATTTTTTCAAGGGAATCAGAAAGAGACTTCGTCTTCTGGAGACAGCTCCATATGTTTTCATTGGATTAAGTATGGGCAAGCCATAATGACCAGGAAGCTGCTGGGAAGGGTTTCACTTAACTGCCAAGTGCTTCTGATGGGGGAGAAAGACTTCCTGCTAGAAAGGTTCCTGAGCATTAAGGAATTTTGTTCAATACTCAGTCACCCATACGAGACATGGGATGCTGCAGTTTCAATGCTAAGTATGAGGAAGCTCACAAGACCTTTGCTTGATCACATAAAGAAGGTCTGCCAGATAAAAGCCATGATAGGTTGGGGGGAGAGCTTATGAGTAGACAGAAGAAAATGAGGAAACAGCTACCTGTCAGCCATACATCCGGACACTCCATTCCCCAGGGTACAGCTGTAATCGGACCCACCTCGGTCAATGTTTACAGCGGAGGGCCTAGGTCACCCAATGGAGCTGCAAGCAGTGTTCTCTCAGCCTCAATATGCTCCTCTAGGCACTGAAGAAGATGCTTACAAAGGGAATGACTGAAATTTCATGGGCATATTTCAAAACATCAGGAAAAATATGAGACTGTATGTGTGGCTGTAAGACAGTTTTAGTACTGTGAGGCAGTTTTGGTGATGAAGGTATATTCAGAGTACACCTTGGATGTGTAAGTGGGTAGTGGCTACAGGGAATGTGTGTGGGGGTATGTGCTTGACATGACAGCAGGTGGTCATAGAACACCTTCCCCTAGATGGCCCTCATGGCGTCAGGGTGGAGGTGTGTCTTCGATGGGTAGGAGCGGGGTTTGAGGCTTACTGCACACAGCATGCATAACCAATGAGCCACCTCTGGTCTCTGCTCTCCAGACCGCCTCCAGTGCCCCAGAAGACATCTCTGGTCCAGGCCCATCTCCTACTGCTACCTCCTGCCTCTTGACATGACTCACTTGCTCCTGCCTTCTATAAGGCAGGCCTTCGGTGGCCTCACAAGGACACGACATTCTACCCGCAATGAGGTTGGATTCATTATCTGCTTCCTTCAGCCCAACATTCTGCCTAGCCATTCCTCAATGGGTAGCATACTCCTTTCCCTCATCCTCTCTTCGATGCAGTAATTCTGAACCCTAGGAAGGTGAAATTCAGACTCTACTCCCCATTCTCAGCTGCCTGCTCATCATTCCCATTCCCCTCAATCCACCTCCCTCCAATATTTCACCACAGATCTCACCAATCCTTCCACCTGATCCATAACTCGTCACCTTTTCTGGTACTGGCTGCATTGTCACTCAGACCCCCTGCCTGGTATATCTTGGTGACAGAGTTGGAATATATCTTATTCCCCACCGCCATTTCTATCTCTACCACACTCAGCAATTTCCCTTGCTCTGAGGGTCACACTATGCACATTTACCAGCCAAGCCAGACCCTGGTGGCCAAGATGGATTAAACCCCAAGACATTCCTTTCTTTCCTCAGTGAGTTCAGTGCCTGGTTCCCAGTCTTTCTCTTTCCCCAACTCCTGCCCTCATATCAGGGAACTTCCATATAGATATTAATACTTTCTCAAATAACCTAGCTTTCCAGTTCCTAAGTTTCCAGTTCAATTTCCATGAGACTCCAGTCTTCCATCTACCTCCATACTCAAAGAGTCATACCTGCCATCACCCTCAAGTATTCCATTTCCTTTCTTGTGAATGCCAATTCCTTTATCTAATAGTAAATTTCTATCATCCTATCTTTTCTTCTGCTTTACAATACTTAACCTGTTCCAATCTCACCACCTCTCCCTTCCTTCCCGAACCATTCTGAACTCTATCTCTTCCCCTCAATCCCTTGGGGAACCAATTCAACTCTACACTATCCTTTACGCCTAAATTCCTTGCCTTCTTTGCCCTATAAGCAATCATGCCTTGGGACTGCACCGGGCAACCTAAGCTCCCGAGATATTGTTTTGAACATGATCCTGCTTCTAAAGCCCTCGCCGCACCCCTTACCCTGAGCTACATTGTTAAATGACACTTGGATAAGGACAATTTTATAAAGGATAAAAATCACATATAAGGGATGTAAAATTTATACTTCTGGTCATCATAATTTATTATTTTGCTTCATCATCTCCAAAACACCCACCATTATTAACAAGAAACTAGTAAAGACATTGAAATGTGTGCACATTTGCTTGCAACATTAAAAAATGAGTTAGGAGTAGAACCTAGACCCTGACTCAAAAAATGCCAGTTATTTCTTTGTTGTATTAAAAATATTTCAATTCCAAACTCACCAGATTTATTAAAAAGAAGTACATGATCATAGATATCAGAAGCCAGGAAGATGAAACCAGGGAGTGGTAGGGCATGCTACGGGAAGAAACAGAAATAGAAGAGAATTAAAATACAATGCAATAAGACAACAATTACCAAAACGTTTCTATGAATTCCTAAGATATTTTGTGAGGTGTTGTTTATGCAAGGCTAGATGTAACAGAATTTCAGTAAGGAAAGCAATGACTGATTAATAAGTTTATTGTACTCCTGACGTCCACATGATACTCCTAGACACTTTACATCATCTAAATGACATGGTCCTTGACCATAAAACAAAACAGGCACCACAGCCAAGAAAGATATCATGAAAATGGGAAAAGGAGTTTGCAGGGTTAGGGACTAGACTTGTGATGTTATTGGTACAAGGAACTCTGGGATGAGGAAAGTCCCTCCAGCAATATAGGGTGGCACCTTCCACGCAACATACAGCCCTAGAGAGTCCTCGAGAGCACGGAGAGGTTGAGATGCCCAGTTCCACAGCCACTATGTGTCAGAGGTGGGACTTGAATTCAGGTCTTCTTGGCTTTGAGGAGGGCTCTGCTGCCTCTAATAACAGCTCATTTACATACAAATAGATGTACACATATACATGTGTATAAATATGTACAAACACATGTACATATACACACGTGTATATGTGTATGTATACACATATAATTATGCACATCACCTGTGATAGCTGTATTGGTTTTACTTTGTGTAAATGGATGTACAAGACTGAATATGAACTCTGGAATTATAGAGACTGAATAGAGGTGGACTGCAGGAAGGTGGGCAAACAAGACAAGAGACGAGACAAGGACAAACATAGGGTGGGGAAAAGAGTGAGAGGGAGGGAGAAGAGTGAAGGAAAAGGAATCATGAAGGCAGAAATGAAAGTCTAAGAGAAGACAGGAGATGCCTTGCTCCTCCAGCTTCCACCGCTCAGTACTCCTTGAACACCTCTCTCCAGCTGGTTGTCTACGACATCAGGCCAGGGAGCTAACGTCAGAGCCGTCTACTAAGTGAGGCCCCGTGCCTTGGAGAGGAAGGAGAGGAAGGGCCCCAGAGCTTGGAGGTGGGAGATGGAGAAGAAGGACGGCAAGGGGCTCCAGCCAAATAAGGCCTCCCGAGTCCCTGATCCATCAAATTGCCCATTGCACACTGCCCCTTACCCTACTTGCCCACCTTTCTCCATTGTGCTAGCTGACTTCTTTACCCCTTCAAGTCTGCTCTTAACATTCACATGCTTTCACTTGCATTGAAAAGCTGGCTTTGGAGGAAAGGGTCGCTCCATAGATTACATGGTGGGGGCTCTTAGCAGCGTGCCCAGGTAGCACTTAGCACAGTGCGTGGTAATAATGTTCACTGACTGGCTGACTGACTGTGGTCAGCAGGGATTCTAATGAACACCAACATGATGCTCAGGCAGTTAAAGCAGACTTCCTTACCTGGTAACACAGATTTTACACTGATAGTAACAGATTCCATTCTGTGAGGTCCTCCTATACTTTACTGACTTGACAAGCTGATCGGATCCATCAACCATATGCAAAGGAAGTTCTAATTTCATTTGAAATATAAATGTATCCCCTCATAAGGAGCACTACTCAGTCACTTAAGTCTCTCCCAACAAGTCCAGCAGTTGCTTACATTATAAAACAAAGCCTCCTTGGAATGTTTCCCAAATTGCTTATAGAGTGTCTCTTGGAAGATGCCCATCCTTGCTGACATCAGAAGGGCAAAGGTCAGGGCAGCGATCCCTAGAAAACAGAGTGTGAACAACTCAGAGCTTTTGGTTTTTCTTCTTTTAGTTCCCAGAATCATGAGAAGTAGACATTCAGCCTTATCCTAATAAAAGAATGAATATGATAGACCCTTAAAAACTATCTATAGAATAAACAATCTATAATTTCTTAGTTAAAAATTAAAGCAAATTTATATTAGGTGTTAAAATATATCACGTTCCAAATAAGACAACAGTCTAAGCAGGGGGTGGGGAGCCCAGCATGCCTAAACTCAAAACCTACTTGTAACATTTCCTTAGTCATCTCACAAAGTCACTGCAATTGTCTGTGCCAATTCAATTCTGCCTCCCAGCCCTGGGAATACATTTACTTCCTAAGGACCCTATGAAGAGCAACTAGTTTAAGATTTCTAAGTTCATTTGAAAGAGGAAAGTACCACCTAGATGAAGCATTTTCTGATTAATTTAAAATTCGGTCCTGTAAGGAAATGGATTCAGAGGTAAGAATGTCCTTTTTTTAAGGTGAATTTTCAAATGCAGGTAGATTTATTTTCTTCCAATCCTAGCTTTATGCCTCATCTTCAGTCTGGCCAGCCCCCCAATACAATGCTGCTTCCTCTGATGTCCACTTCAAAAGTGGTAGCTGAGTTTCAGTCCCTTCCTCATAAAATAAGGGACCAAAGGACCAAGGTGATGTCTTAACTCTTCAGTTATCTGTATGAGATCCACTGGTGCCCAAATTGCCATGGAAGTTCATAATGCCATTATATCTATAACTATATGGTTCCATTGGCCCAGAATCAGAGCATCCTTGATTATTTCATCTGCGAGCTTATTTAGAACTTTACTAAAATATTTTTCTTCTCTTTAGTGGCTTTATATACTAACAATAACTACATAACTGTCCTTGCCCTGTATCTGATAGGAAGTCCTGAGAAAAAGAAACTGAACATTTCTAAAACTCTACCACTTCAGCTATAAACATACCTAATTATAGTGCTTTTGTATGTTAACACAGCCTCTTCTTTTAAAAATGTTTTATTAGAAATGAGACCAACGCAATCAAATTTGCTCATTGAAATTATTTCAATGCAGATGGTATCATAATACTTTTCCAAATAATCCATGTCCCCTTTTGGAATCTTTGTCCTTTCATCCTCATTCAATTTTCTTCACATAACTATGGTTAGCGTGTATGTCACTCTTTTGGCTTTGCTTTTTTGTTTTTGCTTTGCATTATTTCATAAAATTCTTTCTCAGTTCCTTTGTATTCCTCATATTCTACCATATTAATGGTACCACAATGTAACTTTGACCTTGTTGTTGGACAACACTGTAGCTTCTAGTTACAATCTGAAATGGCATAAAATGCTGATATAGTCTCCTCTTTAGACCAAAAAAAAAAGGGGGGGGATGGGGGGGAAAAAAAAGGGGGGAAAATGTTGGATTTCTCCTACAGGCTTTAACTCCTTAAGACTACAGCCCACATATTTACTCAATCTTTTTCAATGGATGGTGACCAATTAGACTATACATCTTCATCTTGTAAAATTATCATTAGAAAAGCATGTTAAAATTATAAATAGGATAAACTGAATAAACCTGTTGCAGAGCCTTACAGATCCAAAATTACTGCTTCAAGCTGAAGATTTATTCTTACTTGAGAAATGCTGAGTGTCCTTAATTGCTAAATGTGGAAACTGGGAAATGACAGATAATAACAATAATGCTCAGCACTAACAAAGCATCTTTCATCTGAATAACACAGGAGCCTGCCTGGAAACATTACCTCATTTATCTTTCTAAGAACTCAGAGAAGTGGGAAGATAAAGTCCCACTCTTATAGGCAGAGAAAGGAAGGCCCAACAGTTTTACTCTCTGCACTCAGCTAAACAGAAGGGAAAAATGGGATTCAAGAAATGTGATGGACTAACTGGCTTAATAACTATTTAACTGCTCTGTACATCGGCATGGAGTACAACTGTTCAATGCTCTAACTTCTCCTCCTACATGTTCACAAAGGTTCTCTCTTATAATCCATTCTAGCATTTCCATAAGAATGGTCTAGAGGGCGTTCATTTTCTCCTCTCCTCATTTTCAGCCTCTTTTCTCCTCATCCTCTTCTCTCCTCTCCTCTTTCTGAAGTGAATGAAGTCTGTATTCCTTCCAATCGGTGTCGCTTCCAAAGACAGGTTGATGAAGAGTGATCTACTCCAAGAAAGTATCTCCATTTCATGAAAAGATCACACATCACAGACTTGATACTGAAAAATGTCACTGAAAAGTAGACTTCTCTTCTCCCCCTCTGATCTGCCTCCCACACTATAGTAGCAACCAACATCAACTTGAACAAAGCAATATGAAATCCATATTGTGAATCAGGTTAGGACTTGCTCACTTGGGTGACTGAGATGGTGAGGGACCTATAGCTATCTCGTAAAAGGACCAGTTCAAAGAACCAGGGATTGCTTAGCTGGAAGAAAAGAAAACTTGGGAGGAGGGTGAATCTGGAGATCATGGAAGAAGGCTTAAAGTCCTTATTTTGCTTGGTCTAAGAGAAAAGAATGAGAACTCTATGAGTGTTTGTAAAGCACTTTGTAAAGTGCTTCGTACAGTGCACCCCAGCACATGGTGGGCCCTACATAAATGCTTGCTGCTGTTGCTTCTATAGTGAAACTTTTCCTTCTTTCTTAAATTTATTCTTGTTTCTTAGATGTTAATGATCAGAAATATGTTATACTACTCCCAGCTGCTTCCCCCTTTTTCCTGGAATAATTTGTTTAGCAAAAGCTATCTGTCTAGAGACTTATCCCCAAGGAGAAAATGACAGCAGACAGAACTGCAGAGGTAAAAATTAGTTTTTACTACAATTAGCAGTACTAACCTAGTAACCACCATGCAAATGCCTGGAATCCTTCATTCTCACTCAAGCTGGACTGGGATGCCTGAGAGGCAAAAAAAAAAAAAAAAAAAAAAAAAAAAAAAAGCAGGGATTAAAAAAACTATATTAGGCAACTGTTTTCAGATGTGAAAGAAATATTTCTAAGTCAAACACCTCAGTTCACTCATCTTAGAATGGATGGTGTATCCTTCTGTTAAACAAACACTTGGAAGAATTTTATCACCACATCCCTGGCAGCTCTGCTACAATCCATAATATTTGTGATAAGTTTTGGGACGATGCTTTCGTCCAGGCCTAGGATTCAGCAGGACATAGAACTCCCAGTATGGAAACTTCATCCACCAAAGCATATTAGCAGCTTGCCCATACGTAGGAGTCTCAGCTGCCCAGGGCATGGAGAGACTAAGGGACTTGCTCGTGGTCACAGAGGTCATATGTATTAGAAGAGGCAGTACGTGAACTCAGGGTTCTTGACCACAAGACTGGACATCTGTCCATTACTCCAAGGGGAAAGAATCTTGTGGACAAATACTTACCACTTGTTTTGCAGACATAAAAGTGCAGATAAAAATCCCCATAGACACCAGAGCAATGGAGGTATATTTCGATACACTGTATCTGCACAAAAAACGAAAGTACTTTAAGGTTGCACATATTAATTTCCAACAGGTATTTATTTCTAGGCTGACACTGCAAAAGGCACGATTCACAGAACAAACAAAAGCAAAGAATCAGTTGCCAGTGCATTCCACATAAACATACTCAGGAATGAACACATGGATGCATTTCTAAAACAATCATGCCTATTGCAGTGAGGTAACCGGACTAGTCATTTACTCTAAATAAATCTACTCTGCTCTAACGTCTCCAAATCCTAATTTGGGTCTACTGCGCCTTCTGTCTCTAGGAAGCATGATACTGATGTCAGCAGGAAACACACTAGATGTGAGGGAAAAAAAGACCTATCAGACCTATGTGGTCAGTTTCAGCACTCAGAAAATAATGTGCTTCTTCATACCAGGATAAGTAGAGAAGAGACAAACAAAGCCATCTCTGAATAAGCCTCCTTTAAAATCCTGGCCTATCAGGCTAAAAACTGTACCTATTGGACTGAGCAATGAAGATGGTAGAGATATTTAACAATGACTGAAATCATACCAAGTTCCTAATGTGCTAACCGAGGTAGCAGAAAGGAGCACAAGAAAATGAAGTTGGGAAGAGAAGAAATCCATGCCAGAAGGGGCACAATGAAAGTGATGAGGGGTTATTTTATAAGATATTTCAGAAAGAGGAAGATGCCAAAAGAATTTTTTTAATGGGGTAAAGCAATTGAGAGATAGCAGTAACTTCTGACCCACATGCCAACTTTCTTATCTATAAAAACTACAAGAATGATCTATACATGTATCAATACTTCTGATAAAATTATGATAAGGTAAGAGGCAGGATTTTGCAAATATTCTCATATCATATCTTTACAGTCACACAATTCATTAAAAGGCTCAGAGAATATAAGATCCTGAAATGTTTAATATTTTTAGATTCCAAAAAAGCATCTGACTCTGTAGAGCAAAATGCACACTGAAAGACTCTTCTGTAACAAAAAATCTCATCTTTGATAAATTTAGTCAGAGAGAACCCTGTTCAAATGGCCCTCCAATTACTAATGTCAAGAGACAGAAAACTGGGACAAAACACTTAGTGGATAGACCAAGAATCTAGCCCGGTATGGTAACTCTTAAATCCTTAAGTTGCCCAAGAAGTGGGCTGGTTCCTATATGCAAAATAAGCCTGAGCATTATATCAATATCTAAACTGTAACAAGTCACTCAGAATGAAAGCAACTAGAATATTACTTATTTGGTGACTAACTAGGCCTTAGAAAAAATGACCTGCAGGACTAGACCTGTGAGAAAGATTACCCTTTCTATAACAAACACTTATTGCCTAAAAAGTCAAAGTCTTCCAATCTGAATCCACAAATTAGTAAAGAAAGATTTCTAGTTAAGTAGGTAAACATCTGAAGGAAAGTCAATAGAATCAGAAGGATAACACTGGAGAAGATGCTGTCCTGAAATACATTATTAAATAAGCATCTCTATAGTACTTTACAATGTGCCATCAAGACCTGGGAAAGACCTTAATTTAGAAAGGCCAAGGTCACCCAGTGCATCCAGGGCCATCACCAGTCGTCCTGACTTTTGGTCCTCTCCAAAAACAAAGGATGAACAACAACAATTTGCCTTTACTAGGAATTTCATTTTAACCCACATAATTTCTCTTTAGTTCATTATGAACTTATAAATATATCTAGACTAGTAAGAACAGTTGGTTAGCACAGGATATAAAATCAATCAAGAGCTCAGGTTCAATAACTGTAAAGACCAGTTACTTTAATACAGAGAAAGAAGTTGTTTGATAGCCACAAATCTTATCTATGACCCTGGTCATTGTCACCTGACAAATGTGAGATCTTGATCGCAAGGGGAACTAAGGGAGGTGTAGATGGCTCAGAACAAATTCAATACAATTACTGGAAAAGTAATTCAAAATGCATATCTTGTTAATTCTGTTCAGTGATATTACCTCTAGATATGGAAGGGATGTGCTACTTACCTTTTCTTTAAAATGATAATGCCTAGAATCATATTGGCAATTAAAGAACCCTATAAAGAGAGAACAGTAACAAAGTCAGCACAATGAAGACAGAAAGCAGCAAAACTCAGTTACAAGTGTAAAGAAAATGGGCTAGAAAGACAAATATTAGGATGAATAATGAGGTTCAACTATTCAAATATGGCAAAAATAGTTTCAGTCATAAAATAAACAACTATTGGAAATATCAAAACCACTGAAGGTCATGGTACTACTACTAAAGATGCTAGTGAAAAGTACAAGTAATAATCATTTGTAAAAGAGGATAAGGAGAACATAAAAAAATGAAATTCAAAGGCCTCATCTGAACAAAGAGTTCAACTTTCTGTTCTATCAAACTTTTAATAAAAACTAGCAGTACATGCAGAATCTAATAGCGTTCAAGAATCAATTAAAGAAAGGTATACAAGTCTTTATTTCAAATTTTTCTGATGCAAGTTTGATAGCCAAGACCTATAAACAATTAATAAATGTATATATATAATATATATACACACGTATACGATCAAAAGATATTCTCCAATAGATAAATGGTCAAAGGATATGAACAAATAGTATATGAAAGAATGCTACAAATCACTAGTAAGAGAAATGCAAATGAAAGCATCCCCTAGGTTTCACCTCACATTCTACAAATTGACAAAAATGATGAAAGATGGGAATAGTCACTGCTGGGGGAGGAGGGTTGCAGGAAGATAACCTCACTAGGACCTTGTTGGAGATGTAAATCAGCACAGCCATATTGGAAAGCAATTTGGAATTATGCAAATAAAATAACTAAAATGTCCATACTCTTTAATCCAGAGATTCTGCTACTAGGTTTATGCCTCACAGAGGCCACTGATAAGAAGAAAGTCCCCATATACACCAAAATTTTTATAGCAGTACTTTCTGTGATAACAAAGAATTAGAAACAAAGTAGATGCCAATAAGGAATAGCTAAACAAATTGTGATACAAAAATATCACAGAATATCACTGTATTATAAGAAATGACAACTATGAATACCAAGAAGCATGGAAAGAGCCATATGAACTGATACAGAATAAGGTAAGCAGAACCAAGAAAACAATATACACAATGACTGCAGAGTAAAAGGAAAGAACCACACATGCACCAAAAAAAAAAAAAATTAATAGTGACTATTGCAAGATTACAAAGAATGAGCTCCAAAGAAGAGATATGAGAAGACATATCTACTTCACCCCTTTGCAGGGGTGGGAGGTCATGAATGTGGTGCATTACATATATTTTCAGATCTTTGTAATGTATTTATTAGGTTTTTTTCCTCCTCATTTTTTTTCTTTAAAAAACATTATTTGTTTATATGAAATGGCTCTCTGGGAGGGTAAGGGGGAGATGATACTGGGAAAAATTATGATGCTACAAAAAAAATCAATAAAAATATACTTTAAAAAGAGAAAAAAGACACAAAAGTGTCTTCTCTGGAAAATTACAAGCAATCAAAAAATATTCACTGGAGTGTCTACTATATGCCTGGCATTTGAAAGGTCATACAAATTACAAATATAGAACAGATAACTGGAAAGTACCTCTGAAAACAGCATATTCTACCTAAAAAGAATTCCAGGTAATACAAAAGTTTACAGTCTAGCTAACTGTGTATCCTCTGGCAGCCCTCACTAACTATATCAAAATCTTTCATAGCTCTTCTCTGAACCCTTTGTTCTTGTTGTTACACATTCCACATACAGGAGAGAGAAAAGAAAGGTGGTACTATTATAGAAATAATGCTGCTCTTGTAATAAAATTTGCTTTTAATTACCTCAAATCACAGAAAAAAAACCCTTCTGAACTTAATAAAAGAAAAAGAAGTAAATTAGGACTGGAGTAACATTAAGTTTTCATATGAAATCAAACAATTATAAGTTAAGGTGAAAATCAATTTTTCTATCTTCCTAGAGATAATTTTATTTTACCTTGATGAAACACTTAAACATTTAACTCAAGGAAACACTGAGAGAAAAGAAATGAAGGCCAAGGAAAAAACTTCTTTTATTTCTTTCCCTTTGTCTTGCTATTAGAGGAACCAACCACTCATCCATATATGGTAAAGACTAACTTCTACCTCTATCAGGCCCATTTTCACATACTGAGATCCACTTATCATAAGATGAACTCCCTACTTTTGCTATATCATGTCTATAAAGTTATGTTTTTAACAAGAGTAAACACATTCAGTAATCCAGGTAGCACTTACTGATCTAAATATCATATGCAGGGGCATGGCAATGTTGAGATTTAGAGCATAATTATTCACCACACTGACAGTGAAGAACATGGTCACCATGATGACGTAATACCTGCAACAGAAGTATAAAAGCACATCACACAGAATCTACCATTTTTAAAACACCCATTTTAGGAGATAATATTTACATTTCTGGGAAAATTTGAAGTAATGTATTTGTTACATATGTGTATAAAAATCATTACTAATATCATCATCTAATACAATCTTTTTGGTTCTGCCAACAGAACTCCTCCTCCTCTCCGCTTCCCCCCATTCTTTCCCTCTTCCAAACTTCCTTATCATTGTCAAGGGTGCCACCATCCTCCCATTCACTCAGCCTTACAACCTAGACATCATACCCGTTGCCAACTCTTGTCATCTTTGTATAGAGTTCTCTTCTCCCTTCTCCCTATTCACATAGTTATCACCCTGGTGGTATAGGCACTCATCACTTCATTCTTACCCTACTGCAAAAGTCTTCTGATTGGTCTCCCTTCTTCAAATCTCTCCCCACTCCAGTCCCTCTTCTGCTCAGCTGCCAAAGTGATTTCCCTAAAGCACAGGTCTGAACATGTCACCCCTCTAATCCCCTTCCCAGTGACATTCTATTGCCTATAGGATCACATAGAATATCTTCTGTTTGGTATTTAAAGTGCTTCACAACCTGTCTTCCTATCACTTCCGAGATCAAAAATAAAATCCTGGTTTTCATTTAAAGCTGAATAATCTACCGACCCCCTTTAACCAGTTTTCTTACACTGCCTCACATGCTCTGTGCTTAAATGACGCTGGTCTCCTTGAAGTTCCATGAACACAACATGTGCCTACTCAGGGATTTCGATGGCTGTCCCTCCTTGCTCACCTCTGCCTCCTGGTTTCTTTCAAGGTTTTTAAAATCCCATCTTCTACAGAAAGCCTTCCCCAATCTCTCTTAATTCTAGGGTTTTGTTTAGCTTGTAGATATTTTGTCTGTAGATAGTTGTTGTTGTCTTCACCATGAGGTTGTGAGCTCCTTGAGGGCAGGGACTGTCTTTTGCCTTTCTTTGGATTCCCAGCACTTAACACAGTGACTAGTACATAGCAGGCACTTAATAAATGCTGATTGGCTTGACTGGCTTTTTCCTACCGGTCCTGTCTTTCTACGTTTGACTTCTCTCCACATACTCTATGATTCGGTGACAATGGCCTAATTATTACTGTTCTTGCACACAACATTCCATCTCCGATTGCCTTTCACTGTCTGTTCCCCATGCTAGCATGTTTTCCCCTCCTTACCTCTTGGCTTCCTTCAAGATTCAGCTGAAATCCCACCTTTTGCAAAAGGCTTTTCCCAGTCACCCTCCACCCCACTAGTGCTTTTCTCTTTAAGTTGCTTTCTACTGACACTGCATAGATTTAGCATGTACAATTTTTTGCATTTTGTGCTCCCTCCATTTGAGGATAAGGAATGTATTTTTGTTTTTCCTTGTATCCCCAGAACTTAGAACGGTGCCATAGAAAGAACTTGATAAATCCTTGTTTGAACTCAGGAAGACCTGGGTTTAAATCTGGTCTCAGACATTTACCAGTTCTGTGACCCCAACCAAATCACTTAACTGCTGTCTGCCTCAGTTTCCCCAAGTGTAAAATGGGGATAATAATAGCACCTAGCTCACAGGACTACTGTGAGAATCAAATACATTAATATTTGAAAAGCATTTAGCACAGAACTTGGCACTTAGTAGGCACTTAATAAATACCTCTTCCCTTTTCTTCCTTTGTTGACTATCTTTCACCAATTTTAACTCCTTTATCATGTGATTACAGAGTCAGAGTGTTAATAGCAGCAAGTACAATAATGCAAAGGGTGACATTCATCAACATTTTCAAACACTTCTTTCTTCATACCAGTCAAGCCAAAATTTCCCATTGCTAGTGGTAACCTGGTAACCATGAATTTAAAGCTCCAACTTTACATGTATACTTTAGACTTCTCAAAATACTCAATTATATATCTAGAAACAAAGAAGATGCATTCCAATGACATATTTCTTAGTTAAAAATTTCATAATCAGGTAGAAAAAGCACCGGGAATAGAAACACATCCTAAAATGCTAGATATACAGGATTATGGCAAATAAAAGCACTGAATGCAAAAAACAGCAAATGAGTCAGAAAATAGAACATTTTTAACAGTGCTGCTGTAAAGGTGTTTCTGCATGATGACCCTATGAGAAAAGTAGTGTAAACAGGATTGTTCCATTTTACAAATGAGAAAACTAAGGCTCCTCAAGGTTAAGTAACTGGCTGTTCAGTGGCTCCCCAGCTTCAACGGTGGGTGCTGGGATTCAAACCACAGTTTTCTGACACCAAATCCTTCCATTTTACTTTACCGTCCCTCACTATCTGGCAGGATTGGATAAGATGTGGCCATTTCTGAAATGGCAATGCCATTCTATCTCAGGGTCACAAATTTGCAGTGGAAAGGGAAATAAAAAGGAATTGTAAGACTTAACCTCCTTCTCCCAAATTAAAAAAAAAAGATGACTACAGTATTAATAATATAAGTTCAAAAAGGATTCTTCATGAAAATCTCTATGAAATACCAACCAAACTTTAACTTTCAAACTTGAATGTGATAGTATTAAAAGCATCTCTCCCTCCCCCCGTCACACTCACACACATACACACAGAGATGCGAGATTTAGTGACAGCTTCCTACATAGAATACTCAGAATTAAATGCACTTCCCTTCTATTTTAGTGTGTCAGTGAGAACAGTGAGCTTTCAGATAAATTGTTGGATACTTAAATGACTCTTTTCCCTTTGGGATACTTTAGAGAAGTTTTATACTTCAAAATATTATAAATTTGGACTAGTGGCTCTAGTAACTGCTCTGGAATTAAAACAAATTTCAACTTAATTTTGCTATCCATCTTTTCCAAACCAAAACCAAATAAATCCTATCTACTTTTAATTTCTGCTTTTCTTCCTTTTAATAGGGAAGTAAGAAAAAAACCAAAACCCAGTCTACCAAATTCCATCTGAGCACAGGTAGACTAAAATGTTTGGCTGACCCTGTACTAATTATTCACAACATATTTTATACGGACACAATGATTTCTTTAAGTTGGTGCTATGTGTTCTAAGGAGGGGGGCAGAAGGCCCACTAACTGGCAGTACACCCCAAGAATCTGTTCTGGGTCCTCTACTCCTTAATCTATATACTGTCTCACTTGGTGACCTCCTTAGTCTCTATGGGTTCAACTATTATCTCTCTGCATATGATTCCCAGATCTATGCATCTAGCGCTAGTCTCTTCTGAGCTCTAGTCAGATATTACCACCTCCCTACTAGACATTTTGAACTAAATAACCGAAAGAAATCTTAAATTCAACATGTCCAAAAGTGAACTCATTATGTTTCCCTCCAAACCTTCCCCTCTTTTTAACACGCTTATATACTATTGAGGATATCACCACTCTTCCAGTCACCCAGCTTTAAAATCTTGGTGTTGTCCTCAACTCCTTCCTTTCACTCCCTCATATCCCATCAACGGCCAAATCCTGTAGTTTTTACTTTCCCAACATTTCTGATCTATGTCACCCACTCTCCACTCACAAGGATTGCCCTCATTCAGGACTCATCACGTTTCACATGGACCATTGCAGCAGCCTTCTAACTGACTCCTGTTTCTTGCCACTGTAATCCCAAAGTGATTTTCCCAAAGTGTAGGTATGAGTATGTCACTAATTAAACTCCAGGTACTCTGTAACCTCTAGGATCAAATATAAGGTCCTTTGTTTAGCATTTAAAAGCTCTTTCTAACCTAGACCCTTTCTGATCTTATAAATTACTCCCCTCTATGACCCGGTATAATGGTCTACTTGCTATTCCTTGAACACAACAGTCCACATCAGTAACTCTGCATTGGCTAAATCCTTCATGTCTAAAACACTCTGCCTCCTCATTTATGGCTCTTAGAAATCTGAATTTCCATTAAGACAAAGATACACCTGGTAAAGGAAGGCTCTCCTGGTCTCCCCTCCTCCCCAGTTTCCTGGATCTTCACCACTAAGGTCATTTTCCATTTATATGTTATCTTGTATGTATCTGTTTAACATGTTTTCTTCTCTATTAGAATGTAAGTTTCTTGGCACGCCAGTTATGCAGTCACCATACTTAGCCCAGGGCCAGGCACTGCTAAGTTTTGGCAGGTGTTTAAGAAATGCCAGCTGAATGAATGACTGAGTGGTATCGCAGGAAAAGGACTGGACCTGAAGTTAAAAGAGACTTGAACAAAACAGGTTCAAAGCCACTTTGGATACTTGCCATAAGAAAGCCATTTGTCTCCTCCTAGCTTCAGTTTCTTCATATATAAACAACAGATAATATTCATACTACCTACAAGGTTGCTGTGACACTCAAACAACATAATGTTTCTAATGCTTTTCAAACCTTAAAGTGCTGTAAAAACATTAGACATTACTAAGTATTTTGTATAGTTTCAAAACTCCTGAAGTTCAGAATGGACAATTTCACAGTTGTCTTTGCCACAAATCTTAAGGAGGTCTCAGACTTTTCTACATTTAGCTATAAGAGATGCCCTCACATGTTTTATAAAAGCAAAGTAAGAAAATTTTAACTTCCATACCTTATTGGAATAGCAGGCCTCTTCCTTCCCAAGTTAGCTTCAAAGATAAAGCCTTCTACGGCTATAAATAAAAACTGTGCAAATGTCACGATGTTCCCACATCCTGGATGCCTCCTGAACAGTGGGTAGGAGAAGGGGGAAAAATAAGTGAATTGAGAACAAGGTCACTTATATGACACAAGATAGCTTGACGATTCCAGGATACAGTGAATAAATTTCTATAACATACTATTTCCTTTATCTGTGTTTTCACATGTCAGTCATCCATAACTCAGAGAAAAAGGCCTCTATGCAGACTCTTTTGTAACAAAATCCATCAAATTGGTGAGTTGGGCATCAATCTGATGAAATATATTCCTTGAATTGATAATATAAGTGCAGCCTAATAAGACTGGCTACACATGGGCATTGGGATCCTCACATAACCAGACTCTTTTCATTCAGTACCCCCACTTAAATGGGAAAAGAAAGGATAAGGAATAAAATCTGATGAGATCTCTACTCTCTTTCTATACCTAGCCTAACCCAGAAATTCTGAGATTATTACAGAAAACAGAAATTCTCCCAGAGATACGGGGGCAAAGTAGGTGATCTTCTACAGGAAGAGCTAAGAAAGATACCCCACATTGAAACATTCCCCGGCACCATTCCTTAAAGGGAGGCCTCAAGAACTTCTGATGCCTATGTTGCTTGAGGCCCCAGATACCCTTTACTCCACTGGAGTTCAGCTGGCCACCAGGAGTTTACAATGAAGACAAGTGAGCAGTGTCTGTGACTTCCTCAGGCTACAAGGTATTTTATTTTATTCTTTAAAACAGTTTTATTCATTTTAAACTTAGCTACAAGGTATTTTAAACATTTCTGTTCCCTACCCCTTCAACATTTTATATTTCCATGATCCACATGGAATTATATTGCCACATCCCAACTCAAATATTCCTTGGGTCTCTCTCACCCCACTTTCAGCTGAGAATCTTATCTCATATTTTACAGAAAAAAAAAAAATAAAGCCATTCACCTTTAACTCCCTCTTCTATCTCACTCACATGCCTTCTGCCACTCTTTGTTCCTCACCCCATCTCACATGATGAGGTGGACTTATTCCTTACCAAGGCTAACCCCTCTACTTCAAGTGATCCTATTCCATCCCATCTCTTCCATCAGATTGACCCCTCTGTCATCCCCACTCTTTCCCTCTCTACTGGCTCATTTCCTACTACCTCACCCTCTTCTCAATACTCTCTTCTCTTTATGTTTTTGGGACACCACTCTCTCCTACTTTTCCTCCTCTCTATCTGACCATTCCTTCTCTGTCTCTTGCTGAATTTTCCTCCAGATCAGATCCTCTAACCATAGGTTACCTCAGGGTTCTGAGGGGATAGTTCCCTCTATCTTACTTCACTTGGTAACCTCATCAGCTCCCATGGATTTAATTACCATCTCTATGTTGATGATTCTCAAACCTACCTTTCTTGCCCCATTCTCTCTGCTGACCTCCAATCTCACATCAACAAATTCCTTTCAGATATATGAAATGTATGTCCAGTTGACATCTTAAACTCAATATGTCCAAAACAGACCTCATTATCTTTTCCCCAAAGCCCCCCCTCCCTCCTACCTTTCCTATTGCTATAGAGAGCAACACTACACTCCCAGTTCCTCAGAGTCACAACCTAGGAGTCATACTGGATTACAGATTACTGTCTCTCACATCCCCCCCCACCTCTCCACCCCCCAATATCCAAGCTGTTGCCAAGGCCTGTCTATCTCACTTTTGTAACCTCTCTCAAATAGTGTCCCTTCTTTCCTCTCCCACTGCCACCATTCTAGTACAGGCCCTCATCACCTCACACCTGGATTACAGAAATAGCCTGTTGGTGGGCCTGCTGCCTCAAATGTTTCCCCACTCCAATTCAGTCACTAAACTGATCTTCCTAAAGCTCAGGTCCAATCATGTCACCCCACCCTACTCAGTAACCTCCAGGGCCTTCCTATTGTATCCAGGACCAAATACAAAATGCTCTATTTAATATTCAATGCCCTTCATAACCTAGTCCCGGCCTACTTTTCCAGTCTTCTTATACCTTACTCCTCAACACGTACTCTTTTATTCAGTGACACGGGCCTACTCCTGGTTGTTACACTAACAAGACACTCCCTCTCTCAGTTCCGGGCATTTTCTCTGGCTGTTCCCCATGCCTATAATGCTCTATTAGAGAACTGGACAAGCTGAGTTGTGATTCTAAGCAAGTTTACATTACTGCTGCAGTTGTCAGGCAGCAATCCACTTCAAGGTCTTCCACGTAATAACTTTGTTAGAATTACTATAAAAACACAGTTTGGGTAAAGGCGTGTATCTGAGGATTAGCTTCTTTTTCATTTTTCATCCTGAAGGCCCAGAACTCCAGCTCTGGGTTATATGGACCGATTCACCTTAGGGATTCTTACAAAGCACTCTTTTTTTTTTTTTTTGTGCTCCCACACAGTATTCCCTGGAGAACCTCAGACTTTGCTTATTTTATTCCCACATAGGTTTTCCTTGGGAACATTGGAAGCTAGCTTGTGCCTTGGTTTCTACATAAAAGGTATGCAAGCACTCAGAATAACTCTGTGTGTATGTACATAGGTTAGTTTTTGTTTGACCTCACAGAATATTCAACACAAAGGCCTTGCATTCTATCTTACAAATATTCAAGACAACTCTCCTTTCTTCCAGAGAATCCCACCTTCTCACAGTCTTAGAATTACGCTGTGGTTGAGGAACATATGTCCAGTAGACACCTTAAACTCATTATGCGCAAAACAGAATTTACTCTCTTTTCCCCAAAAGGGAAATGTACTTGGGGTTACCTATGTGGCAATTCTTCATCCTCTAGCTGCCTCCACCTCCCCCCATAGGCCCATACTCCATACTTTCAGTACTCCATACTTAGGCTCCTATGGAAGGGAATTTTGCTCTTGGGATAACTAAGGAATCAACTTTACATAAGACCAGCATAATCCAAATAACTCATAATAGTATGCAAGGGAAGGTCCAGATTGTTCTTCCATATGATAGATTTTCCCTGACTACATCTCCTTGGTCCCAGAACTCCTAAATTTGACCCGGGAACTTGAACACTCTCCAGAACTCTCCTCCCTCAAAAAGGTTGGGTCCATGAATTTTGGCCATGCTCTCAGTGCCCCTAGCTGCTGCCATCTCTTGGGTGGCATGGTTCACACCTCTCCTCGGCCTACACAATTTCCTCTCCACAAATTTCATTACCACCCCACTACTGCCTATCCATAGCTTTCACCTCTAAGGCTGAGAAGTTCTTTGAGGAATACTGCATGGATAATCAAACCAAGGACTCAAATTCACTCCCTGCATACAGTCTCATTTTCAGCTCTGGTCTTTCTCTAGGCTCAATTCTGATTTGTGTAACTTTTTTTTTAAGCCATCCTAAGAGTTTGGCCCAAATCTACAATGGACAATACTTAATTATTCCCAAACAACATGATTCAATCATTCTCAGAAGTGCTCCCTATACATAAATTCATCCTCTTATTGATGTCCACAATCATCAAAAAGAAATAATCAAAATCCCAAAGTTGGTGCCTTCCAAATCTTCCAAACCGAGCCATCTTCAAAATCAGAATAAAAGCCTCATCTTTTAACTTTGTTAGGTTGACCTGATCATACCTTTTACATTGCTATCTCACATTCACTGTTTTTATTCTATCTATGAACGTAGTATTTTTTTATATCCTCTTGCACAGCCCTCTGTACCATTATATAAATGCTGAGAGCAGAGTGACACAGATCTAATAGGATATCAACTCATGAAAAGAACACAGCCCATGAATGCAGGCGACTGGTGGATGCGGCAAGGAGCTCAAGCAATGAAGAGCCCTGTTCTATCATCATCTCCACAAAAGAAATGGCAGAAGAGACTACTGTCCCCAGCAAGAAGCCTGCCACTGCCATTCTGAAAGGCACACTGAAGAGCCTCGTCACCCCAGAAACCACTCAATCATTGCTCAGATTTTGCTATCTAACCTCGACATCATTCTACGGATGCACTAGCATATAATATATGCAGTAAGAGGAAATGACCAGTTTTATAAGTAATATTGCATATTGATGGGATTGGATATTGTGAAATGTAATGAAAATGTGAGATTTGTATAACTCATACGCTCAAGTTAAAAGGTGGCTGGGCCATGAAGGGGAGGAGACTTTTCAAAAGATTTTAGTCATGTTATTTTACCAAGGGGGATACACACACACACACACACACACAAAAAGCCAAAGAAAGGACAAAAAGACCTAATGACCTAAAGACCTTTTAGTCATAGTCAATGATTCTATGAACATTTCAAAAAAGAAATGTGTGATCATTCAAGAATCTGAAAGATAAGTTAGGATACTTGCATCATGGAGACAGATATACTTTGTTTTAAGCAAATATAATAAATGAAGATTAGGATTGAAAAATAAAGTTTATGCAAAAGATAAATTAAGGATGATTCTTGGCTTGATAAAATCTTATTTTACAAAATAATTTCCCTAAGGTTATTTTATATATCAAGTTTTCTGAGCACATTTAATATACGATTCTGCTTACAAAAATTCTCTTTATAGAGTTTACATAGACAGCATTATGATTCATGCTGGGGATTAAACTAGATCACTTCTGAGGTCCCGCCTAATTTAAACAGACTACAATCCTAACAGACTTTATCCCAAAAATAAGACATTACTTGTACTTGACATTGTTAATTTCTTTTAAAATAACTTTTATATCTTTTGCTTTTATATAACCTACAATTCTCACTATGATCCCTCCTCTATTCTCTCCCAGAGAGCAATCCTTTATCATAAAAAGAGAAACAAAAAAGTTACCCAAGACCAAGCAGTATATCAAAAAAGTCTGATATTATGTAGCATTTCATGGTCCCCCATCTCTGCAAAAAGGGTGCTGAAGTGTTTTCTCACATCCCTTCTTTGGGACCAAATTTGGACATTAAAATTTCATAGCATTGCTTCTTTTGTCATTGTTCTTTCCTCTAACACTGCTACAGTCACTGTATATATTGTTTTCCTGGTTCTATTTACTTCATTTTTCATCAGT